CCCCAAAACCCCAAAACCCCAAAACCCCAAAACCCCAGGAGTTCATCTTCAATTTGAGATATACATTTAACAGTTCAAAATAAAATGGAAGAGGTACCGAGTCTTTTCCTAAAATTTTATTAGAGAAGTTATTCCAAGCCTTAAGCTGGGTCTGATAAAAAGCTTAATGATGGATTTTGACTACTTTAAATCTTTTGTGATAGGGAAATTAATCTTGATATAGAGCAAAGAGATAAAATTTAACCATCCAAGCCATGAAGTGCACGCCATCACTAAAAGAAGGGCTAAATTTGATAGCCATCTTATTTCGAAAGACATTATTGATGTACTAATTGTGTATACAGGGGGCACTTTTGGCATGGTTGAAAGTGATGGCGGATATATCCCCCATTCGGATCTTCTCAGTGCTTTAAAAACCTACAAGGAATTTTATGATAAAGATTTTCAAAATGATGTTCCTGGCACAACAGTGACACCTGTTACAATGTTCAAAAACAGACTTCGCTATCACTTGTATGAGTATAGGAATCTTATAGATTCTTCTGAGCTAGTTGTTGACAATTACATAGAAGTTGCTCAGACCATCAAAGAAAACTATGACAAATATGACTCATTCATCGTTATTTATGGAACAGATACAATGGCTTTCTTGGCATCCCAACTTTCCTTCATGTTTGAGAACCTTGACAAAACTGTGGTCATCACTGGCTCTCAAATCCCTCTCTCGCAATGGAGAAATGATGCTGAGGCGAATCTTATCGGAGCTCTCACAGTTGCTGCCCATCAAATCCCTGAAGTGATGATTTTCTTCGATGGAATTCTTCTAAGAGGCAACAGAGCGTGTAAAGAAAGCTCAACTTTACTTAGAGCATTCAATACTCCAAATATCGACCCTTTAGCTGTATTCAACGTTTTCCTTAAATTTAACGATGGGCTCATTCGTAAAAGACCAGATAAAAGCAAGAAGTTTAGTGTATTTGAAGACCTTAATTCCAAAATCTCAACTATTTATATGCACCCGATGATCTCAGAAGAGATCTTCTTAGGTTCGTTCAAGAGAGCAGAAGCTATCATCATCCAAACTTATGGGATGGGAAACTTCCCTCTGAAGAGAAAAGGGATGATAAAAATCATTGAAGATGCCATCCATACTTATGGCAAGACAGTTGTTATCGTCAGTCAATGCAGAAAAGGCTTCGTTAAAGGTGCTTATGCTAGTGGCTATGAACTCGAGAAGAAAGGAGTCATTCTAGCAGAAGATATGACTCTCGAAGCTGTTATTTGCAAGCTTTCCTACATTCTTGGAAAAGGTATCAAAGGAGATGAGATAAAAATATATATGCTCAAAGATCTTAGAGGTGAGATAACCATAGAAAATAATGATACTCTTGACCAATCTGACATCGTAACTTCTCCTACTGAAGCAGGCCAAGATTTGAGCTAAGTTTCATGACAGATATCGAAGATTGTGCTTAGATATATATTTGATTAAAATTAAACTATTGATATTCTTATCTAAATCAATATTCTCACCAGATATTGGGGTTTTGGGGTTTTGGGGTTTTGGGGAGATAGGAAGAG